CAACTCTCAGTGAGGGAAAAGTGTGGTTATTCATGCAGTGTACGCATTAAAGGGTGTGCAGTGACATATCAATCTTCTGTCTACCACAAATCTTAGTGTGACATGAATTTGCAGGTTAGGCAAATTTTGCAAGACAAATGATTTTTGGATGTAATTCCTGAGCTAGCAGATAAAAATGATGCAACTGCCACAAATTTTGTTATCAATAAATGTGACTGAAAATTTATTTGTAGAGTGCTATGGGCCTGCTTTTTTAATTTCAAATGTTAATTTGGCCTTTATATCTCCCACTGAAAATTATGTGACTATTTATAAGCCTTTTGTTGATTAAATCTGTATTTGTTAGATAATTGAACAACAGTCGATGTAATAAAAAGCTACAAAAGCATTTTTAAATTTTGGCTTGTGTCGGTTTTAGGGATGCAACAATTCTAGACTTTGGTTCCACAATTATAGTCTGATGAATAATCACAGTTATCACGATTACTATTTATTAATTTTCAAATACTACTAGTTTAGAAAACCACATGCAAACTCCTTATATTTTAAAGTGTAATTTATTTCTACTCATTAACAAAATAATACAGCACAAGAATAATAATAATATTTTTAAAAATAATTTTATTAATAATAATTAAAAACAAACAATAGTCCATTTCTATTTGGACTTAAATATATGTGTTGTTTTTGGCGTTTAAACATAAGTAATAATTTTACACCGACAATAAATGACAGAACAAATGAATGAATTAATTAATTAATTAATAAAAATAAGAATAAAATATGTCTAATAAATCTAAACTACATATTAGCTAAGTATTTCCCTTTTTAAAGAGAACGAATGTAGTCAAGGGCTGCTGAATCTCTGTCTGAAAGGCTCTTTTGATCAACTATAATACATAACTGTTTGGTGTCTTGAAGTTTGTTTTCTCTTTGGGGTTAAATTGTGTATATTCCATACAAAGTATGACGCTGATTGGTCCAGTTCTTGTCAAGTGATTTGGGGTGGCGCTGTTGCCAATATGCGCCCAAGCCGTGTACTTTCATTGGAAATAACGAACTTGTACGCGCAAAAGATAGGATATGTGAACGGCTCTTAGTTAATAGCCTCAGCCATACTTAAAATCAGCCTTTAATCCAGTGTGTGTGCGTATTGTGTACAAGCTCAGAACTTTAAACTAGCGCACAGTTGGCATAACTTTGTTTAGTTGGAGCAGTTTTGTTCGGTGCAGAAACGCAGTATTGAGAAGCCTTTACAATTAAATAATGGTGATAAATTCAATTGCGGTTGATAGTGAAATCGGTTAATTGTTGCATCCCTAGTTAATTTATTAGTTAATGCCTAATGATGCATTTTCTTTAAATTAAATCTAACAAATAACTATAATATGACAATTTCTCACTGATTATTTTAATGCATCAATTAACATTTAGTAATGACACCTTATTGTAAGTATTACCTGCTTTAATTTATCATCCTTTTGCAGTTTGAAAAATGTTTACTCTGAACATATATATACAATAAAGCCAAAAACTACAGATTTTTTGGTTATAATTGTCCAACTTTTTTTTTTGCAGCTTAAGTCAATCGAGATGATACCGTATATATCGAGATCAAAGCATCAGCAACTAATCGCAACAAGAAAATTTGAGAAAAAATACTCAGTATAGACTACTTAAAGACAAATTATTCCTTTATTTAAAAACGAAATGTTCACAGATTTGAACATGGACTGGAGACAGTGAGCCACTGTCTCTGCAGGGTCTCCTCCTTGAGGACCTGTGAATCATTTGAGTCTGTACAAACAGATTAGAGTTACAGTCCTGGACCAGAGTGAGACATGTTTGACATTAATGCCGCATTGTATATTATCAGAAACGCTGAATGTGGACGCACGGATCCAAGGCAGAGAATGTTTAAGAACTAATTACCAACCAGCGAGGCACAAGACCTATAGCATATTTTCTTACTTGTGTGGAAAAATATAGCAGGCTCCATTTATTTTTCTGCACTGTTATTTCTGGATGGCTCCTACTTCGGGTAAATAGTCCCGTTCCCTATTGTAAATCTGACGGGCACAGGTCTTCGGAGACTTTTGAGGCTCTTTTTAAGGAAAAATAGAGACAGGCTTGGATGGCTTTTGGCCATAATGAGAGAGTGGAAGCAAAGGGGGAGCTTTGATCCATGGCCTGAAAGCTCATGTTTAAATCTGTTAGCAGACATCACTCATCTTTGCCCAAGGATGAAACGACCAGATCAAAGTCTGTTTCTTTGCATTTAATGGACAGTGAAACCCAGTTTAGATGTCTGTGACATACCATCAGCTAATGTAATAGCCTTTTCGCCACGTTAGGAAAATATATATAAACCTTTTTGTTCATATATAAACATACCTATTTATCTTTAAAAACAGATCTAGACAGTGACATTCATATCAAATGCACTCGGAATGATCCAGAAACTCAACCGCACAATTAGCACTCATCATTCAATTACAATAAATATCCATTTCCTTAGAAACGGCTCCATAAAACAGTATCAATTAGCGAAAGAAACGTGTATGGGGAAAAAGAAATAATGCAAGTCAAACTGTGAAAATATTATTTTATTCATAGAGCTTCACTCGGAATAGGCCTCTCTGGCGCCACACTCTCATTTCATATCAAACGCTTGTCCAAACCACACAAGAGCAGGAGCTCCACAAGGACCTATCACGGGCCCTATGATATTCCAGCGGCGCTAAGTGGAGGGGAGGAGACCTGGATGAACGCCCGTTCAGATTCTCTGTTTCGGTGGGCCGCTGTGTGTCGTGAATCTCCTCTCCACCTCAGCTCGTTAATTTCCTATAAACGGCGTTGTGAATAAATATTTAAGTATGATAGATCCAGTGCTGACTGATGTTAGACTCTTTGAGATAAGCCAGAAAAGAAATGAGAAGACAAAATGATATGAGTAGTGAGGAATAACAGGAAAGGCTGAACATCTTGTAATTTACAAGACAATGAAGGATTGAGAATCTTGCATAAACTGTTTGTAAAAACAGTTTGAAGTGTTATAAAGGAGCAGCTTATTACTGTAGAAATGAATGGCATTTACTTGCATTTGCCACACTGCATTTTTTTTTTCTAGAGAAGGCATCTATTAAATTAGCTGCTTTTTAAATGGTTATAAAAAACAAACTGGTGCACCCTTAGAAAAAAATGAAATACAGGAATTATTTATGATTGGTTGTTTCTGCTGCTCACATCTGAATCCATCCATCCATGATACACAAATAATACTAGAAACATTACAGAAAACAATGTTGAAGGATAATGTAAATTCAATAGAGATGCAAAAATGAATGTTTCTTAACGATTTGAAATGCTTGAACCATAAGTATTGGGTTATGTAATAATTCCAATTCTTGAGTCCTGGGACAAGACCGGATTAAAACATTTAAATTAAATACACTACCATTCGACAATGTGTTTGTGGCGAAAATGTTTCTGTTGCAAATAAATGCTTTTATTTTGTACTTTTTATTATTTTAAAGAGTCCCAAATAGTATTCTGGTTACCTGGCTTTAATGAGCAAAACTTTGTTTCCATCCACCTATTTTTATGCGCATTTTGGATGTGCGCATAAAAAACGGTTAATGGAAACGCAAAGATGCACACTTTCAAAATGTATGCGCATTAAAAAAACAAATGCGCATAACTGAGCAGGATAAACTGTTTATTCGATAAGAAAAGATGTGCATAAACTATGATGGAAACACTTTTACTAAACCAATTCCAGTATGCTCATTTAAAAAGTCATGTGATTTTGAGATCATGCAGTGATAAAAATGTGTGTGAATTTGAACTTAAAACTTGTTGAAAGTTAACTTAATCGATTTGAGTTGGGACAACAGGAAGAGATTATGTGGAACCCAGCAGTGCAGTGTATATTAGTTTTATTTTTACTCAGTATCACTAGCATTACAATATCTTACCGCTTTTTAAACAGTAATATACAGTAGGGATGCTCCAATCAGGATTTTTGCAGCCAATACCAAGTACCAATTCCTTGTTCAGCCAATACTAAGTACCGATTCTGATGCTTTAAGCTTTATAATGCATAAAGCACATTTTACCTTTAAGTATGACAAGATCTTGCCTTACCTAAATAAATGAAGGATGCCGCTTAATATAATCTCTTAAACACGTCTCTTATAATCATTTAGTGTGGACATGTCATGGTCAGAAGCAGCTTTACAGAGAATAATAGATAAAACTGATTAAAAGAATTGGTAAGAAGAAAGACCAATAAAGCAATTTAGAAACATTGCAAATGATGAAAAAAGAATTCAACATGTCCCAATGAAGTTTGGAGCGCATATTTGATGGATAAGAAGTTAAATTGCACGCCTATAAATCCATTACTTCTTTACTAAAAAAGTATGGGTCAATGAACTAACTGTTTTTTGCAAAGAGCATATTATGATAAGTTATAATATTAAATATTCAAGGTAAAAACATTTTTTTTTATTTCCCTAGGTTTTCATGAACTTGCAATATTGCTGAAAACACAGAACTTTCAGTTTTGATATATAAAAAGATTTCAGTTCTTATATGTCCTCTGCTTTTAAACAAACAATTATCAGCTTATGAGATTGGGCAGATTGGCGAGTACTGATCAAGTCATGAAATGTGATTATCGGCCGATACCGATCTCTCGCCAATCGATCGGAGCATCTGTATTATACAGTAGTATCAAAATGTTATTCTGAAATGCATATCTAAATTTCAGACACAGTTTAATATGTATGAAGATTTACAACTGAATCGCATTGTTGTATGGTTTGAATCAAACAAATTGTTCTAGTAAATAAATATTCTAGTGGTGTAAATATTTAATTCTGAAGTTTGTAATTTTGTCCCATGTCTCAAGAACCAGTACAAGAATTCAGAAACAGAGTAAAACATGGACAACTAGTTGTTATGTTGAGAGAGAGTCAGAAAAGTGTTAAGAGAAGTCTCTTTAAATGGAGACACAACAATCGCTTTTATATGAGCAACAGATAAATATGTGTTGGGTGATATTTTGCATTCCCATTTGAGTCCACAAATGAAGTATTCGGAATTATATCAAAGCACCAGTCCTTACGTGATATTGTAAGGGCTCTTGATGAATGAAAATACATATTGCTTGTAGTTTTAGATTAATAATTTTGAATTACATGGAAAACATCATCTCCCCAGCCCCCCAAATGTCAGATTTGTTGATCTGTTTACTTGGTTAGCCTCTTGGCCACATCCAGATATGCAGATTCAATCTCGTTGTCTGCAGCACAGGTGTTGGTGAACTCTTCTTGTGCATACGCACTGTTCAGATAGCGCCACACGCCGGTCAGGTCACTGGGAATGTCAAAGTTCCGGTATTTCTTGGCAACGACCTTCAGGAAAAAAATGGATGACAATTGATTAATGACTATAAATATAATTAAATAATTATAAAAGACTGAGATTAATTCTCTTTCAAGAGTTCACACTTAGCTGATGGTTGATAATAATGCGTGTTTGGCATGCTGTACCGGTAGAGAGCTCTGAGCTCAAGAGATCCTAGAGCCCGGGGTTCCCTCTCGTTTCATCAGGAGAGAGAGGAGTCTGAGCTCAGGTAGGTCTCAAGAGCTCCCCTGAATTTGTTCGCTCGGCATATTTCTTGATTATTAGGGATTGCCACAGTGGAATGAACTGACAACTACACCAGCATATGGCTATGCGGTGAACGCCCAGTACTAAAACACTCATATACTGTGGCCAATTTAGTTTATTCATTTTACTTATAGTGCATGTCTTTAGACTATGGGAGGAAACCGGAACAGCCAGGGGAAACCCACACGAGCACAGGGTAAACGTGTAAACCCCATACAGAAATGCCATCTGGCCCAGCCAGGACTCGAACCAGTGACCTTCTTGCTGTGACGTGACAGTGCTAACCACTGAGCCACCGTGCTGCTCTGTCCTGCATTAATCTAGGAACGAGGGGTAGGAGTAGGGGTGAATGGGTAGGATAAGATAGGAAAATGTGGTTATTTATGTGCATTTGGATTTGTCTGATTGGTAAATCAAATAATAGTTAAGGTGGGACCAGCCGTGGTCAATCATGAGCACGTGATCCGAAAGTTAGTTTGTAAATAAACTTAAAATGAAATGCAAGCTAAATGTGCTTCAAATAATAAATTAAGATAAGTAAGATTTAGTTGCTTTTTTAGTGCATTATCCATCAAGGAAGCATCAAGTCAAGATTTTAAAACCACCAAAATCTTCTCCTATACCATTTCTATGGTATAGGGCTGGGCCAATAAACAATATTATATTGAATAGCGATAAAATGTATGTCTTTTCGACCACCACATTAAATTTTCGCCAATTAATGAACCCTCTAATTTTTGTGTCTTCAGTCATTGTTGGGGTACTCTTTTTAAATCTTACAGTATTAACAACTTATATCGAAATATATATCATTATCAATCAATATGGAAAATAATTATCGAGAGTGCATTTTTGCCATATCGCTCAGCCCTACTACAGTACATTCTGAGTAAGATTTTTCTATTTACGTTTTTTTTTTTTTTTAGGACAACAGTTTCTCCAGCAGAAAAGATCTCCAAAAATGCTGCTTTAAATTGTAAAAAAAATCTGTGTTTTTAAAACTAATGAAGACAGCAGAAGGCAATGATTTATTTTCATTATTTAGCCTGACATGTTTACTGCTCCAAAATATCTTAAATGTTTCTTAAAATAAAATATATTGTGTTCAAAGGGAAAAAGTTGTAGTTTTTTTACCCAGACATTTACAAAGAATATATTTTAGAGCAGTAATCACAATACCCTCAAACCATGATATTTTTAATCAAGATTATCATACAGTCAAAATCTTATACTGTTCTATGCCTGGTAAAAACAATAATAATTTTAAAACATAGTTGTATTTGAAATGAATAAATTTTTCTGTTCATCTAAGTCTGTTTATCAAAGATGTTTTTTAAATGTACTGTATTAATCAGCACGATTAAGATATAATGAGGCTAATTAAGCATGTTATAACGATTTCTGAGCACTCATTCTAGAAACTAATACTGTACATTCGAACTGTATTAGTTTAAAAAAAGCATTGAATTAAATGCAATGCTGTTGCTTTTAATAGATCATTGAATGTCTTCAAAGTGTACATGAAACCAAAATTCACAGTGTTTTTTTTTTTTGTTTGTTTTTTTGAGATTAAGGTGAACAATTAGTCCATGCATGTTAATCCTCTGAAAAAAAAAATGTTTTGGTAATCTTCAATCAAAATCTGACCACTTGCTTCCACATGGTCTTTTGTTGACGTCAGTTTGACGCTTCAACCACAATATTCTTAACCACGCTTTCTATTAGTTTGCTATGAGATAATAATGTGCAAAAAGAAAGCCAAGGCCCTTACTCAATATTCTATTTCAGTTGGAAGTAGTGCGGGGCCACTAAACCATATTATATCGAATTGCAATAAAATTGATATCAATAACAATGATAAGTTCTAGACTTTTTACTCTATTTTGATCTAAGAGCCATTCCTACAGCAGGAATGTACAACAATGAGAATCTAGAAGTGTGTTGATATTAGAGATGCATCAAATTTTCAGCCGTCAAACATTATCGACCAACAAAAATAGGATAAGCTGTTTAATTCACCCTCTCATTTGTGGCTTCAGTCATTGTTGGGATACTCTTTTAAATCTGGAAGCATTAGCTGATATCGAAATATATATATCATTATTATCATTAGCACTAGTTGGAAGTACATCAACATACTGAAAAAAATGTTTTAGCAACTTCAGGTTCTTGCAGCCTTTTAAGGTTTTGAAGCTTCATTAAGCAAAGCCTTGAAAGCTTTTAAAGGCTTAGTTCACCAAAAAAAGAAAATTCTGCATTCATTTACTCATCCTCCACTTGTTCCAAACATGAGTTTCTCCCTTATGCTGAACGCAAAATAAGATATTCATAAGAACGTTGGAAAAAACAGCTATTGACTTTGTATTCATGCTATAAATGACGTTTTTTTCCCCCAACATTTTTCATAATATCTTCTTTTGGGTTCAACAAAATACAGAAATCTACTTGGAGGGTGAGGAAATGTTCATATTAGGGTGAACTATTTATTTAACTAAACATTTTTAATTTGTATATTGGGTTTAACACCATTTCTCTAAGCTGTCTCCCTCCTGAACTCTGCCCCACACTGACTCTTTTGCCCCCCACTGACTCTTTTGCCCCCCAATACACCCCCCACTCTCCTCTAACTTAAACTCCTCGCAATAACTGCACTGTTTAACATTTGCACATTTAAAAATTTGCACATTTACTGCACCACATTGAACTGTTTACTTATTGAACTGTACATAACCACTGCATATGGACATTTGTAATTATGTACACACCCACTATAAATATACACTTGTAATCATGCTTATTTATCTGCATACTACTGATTATTAATAGCAACCTGTACATATATTCATATATTGTAACATATACACTTGTAATCATGTTTATCTATCTGCACACTACTGATTATTAATAGCAACCTGCACATATATTTATATGTTGTAAATCTGTTCATAGCTTATTCAACCTGTATATAATGTTCATAGTACATCCATCTGTAAATATCACCATAGTTTTTCTATAACTGCACTTTATAACTTATTCCTGTATCCTGCACTTGCTGCTATTGCACTGCTGGTTAGACCTAAACTGCATTTCGTTGCATTGTACTTGTACATGTGTAACGACAATAAAGTTGAATCTAATCTAATCTAATTAATGTCTAAACTAAACCGGCTGGCAGCAAAAGCATCTTCCACCATTGACTGTCTAACATTAGAGCAGAATTAAACCTGCCATTGAGATAAATGGGAATGCTAACAGATCTCTCTCTCTCTCTCCAGGTATTGCAGATCTTTATGGTAACCCTCGAGCCACTACACTGGCCAAAACTAATGACAGGTTCCCCCTCAGTGCTTCAGCTCACCTTCACAATGTGGAGTTTTGGCAGCAGGTTACAGTCTGCCAGAGTCAGATCGTTCCCGTCCAGGAACCTGCGGTTGGAGGCCTTTTCCTCCTCCATGCTGTCGGCATCAACCTCATCAGGCAAAGGACTGTTCAGGTACTCATCCAGCTTCTTGAGTGCCTTTGTCAAACCCTTCTCCAGAGCTAACAAAACATCATCACATCGATTTTTAATAACTGGTGTTGAGTATGTGGTGTAGAATCTGTGTTCAAAAACTAGTGTTGAGTATGTGTCATTTTTTGTCACTTGATTAATTTATATGTTGATTTTAGGGAAAAATCTACATCATATATTAAACGTTACACAATATCAAATATTATATTGTGATATCACACAATTTAAAAATGAAATCAATAAACACTAAATAAGTGAATGACTGTATAACAAAATAAACAAATAAAGAACAAATGAGCATTCCCAAAACAAGCAAAATCAGCGTTATTTAAAAGTTAAATGATAAACGTTTGTGCCGATAAACGATATTATATCAAATCGCGATGTCAATGTATGTCAATAACAATGATAAGCAATGCACTTTTTACTCTAATGATCTAAAAGCCAGTCTCTCAGCAGAAATGTACAACCATGTGAATCGAAAAGTGTGTCGATTTTAGAGGCCACTGAAATATAATTGGGGGAAAATATGTTATGCCATTTAATAAGCTCTCTAATTCTTGTGGCTTCAGTTGTTGTTGGAGTACTCTTAAATCTGAAAGCATTAACAACTGATATCGAAATATACAGTTGAAGTCTATAATTTAGTCTAATAATTTTGACCTTAAAATAGTGTTTAAAATTTTTTAAACTGCCTTCATTCTAGCCAAAATAAAACAAATAAGACTTTCTCCAGACGAAAAAATATTATCAGACATACTGTGAAAATTTCCTCGCTCTGTTAAAATCATTTGGTAAATATTTAAAAAAGAAAAAAAATTCAAAGGGGGGCTAATAATTCTCACTTCAACTGTATATCATTATCTATCAGTATAGAAGATCATTTTCATGATTGCATTTTTGCCATATCACCCAGCCCTACTATGGTGTAAGTACAATATATGGAAACATTTGTGATATACGTTGGTGATTTATATGAATTTTGTTTAATATCCTTATTATGAAATATTAATTAAACTTAATATTGGATGCACTCAATATTAGACATTATTACTGAATACTGTATAAATAAATCAATATTTAAAGGTGTTGACATAATTGTTTTTATAATTAAATATTTCTAAACATGAATTTATTAAACAATAAATAAATAGTTTTTGGAAAATAATAAATGTATTATTAAGTCACATTTTGTATTAAAGATTACTTGTATTTGTTTATTTATTTTATTACTTGTAATTATTCTTTTAATGTCTCTGTCAGGTTTCATTCCTTATTGTTAAAAAACTGCACCAACAAAACTATATTTTAATATCGTCCAGTGCTTCCCACAGGTTTGAAATATATTTGCAATGGTAGCCGGATTGAAACACGGCATTTACCCACATCACATAAAAAGTTTACTTTATGCGACAAACAAAACATAATTTCACAGTTTCTTTTCAATGAGTTAAAGTAAAAAAAGACTGTTAAAAAAGACTGAAATATAAAATATCCTTCAATTCTATTCAACAGCCAAAACAGCTCTAAAATAGCTCTAAAAATAAAAAAAATTGCAATTTTAAAACAGGTAGATTATTTTTTTTAAATAAGGCAAATGAGTTGATTAACCATTACTAATGGTGTACATATATTTTGCAGCCAGTGTAGACCAGTCATTCCGTCCTCTCTGAGTATTTAGTAAAGTTTTTTTTAGATTTAGACTAATAAATCTATTATTTACTTTTTCTCCCGTTATCTCGGCTGTGCATGTACGTTTAGCTGTAAAACTGGCAGAAAGTAGTCTTTGATAAAAAAGTAACGCAAAGAGCTTTAGAAAGCGAAAGCAAAAGGTAAATTCTGGACATTTTGGAGATTTAGAAACCTGGCCCGGACGAATTTGGTAAGTCCCAAAAATTTGCGTCTCCGTATGTGAAGAGCACGTAAAACTGTCTGCACAATTGTTGACCGGTTTTGCGGGCACAGAATGAAACGGGTAAACGAGAGAATATTTTCCACTTTTTAATCAATTGCGGATGTTTAGGGCTGTTAATATACCTGGGCGGCCCACCCAAGTAAAGTCTATGTATTCTATAGGTGCCAACCTGCATAATTAGCTAGATTTAATAGATTTGTTTCTCAGTATATGCATAATGTTTAAGTTTTAAATTTGTTCCTTAATTTAATAATTAATAAATATACTGTAAGTTAAAATCTCATCAGTGTTTCTGTTTGAAACCTTAAGTCGTTATAAAGTCTTAAAATGTATGGAAAGAGTCTTAAAAAGGTCTTAAAAGGTATTGGATTTCACTCTCTAATTCCTGTATATACTCTGGTAATATGGTAAACTAAAACATAAATGCTTATATGCTGTATGTAGGAAATGTACATGACTAAATATAACTTTGACCTTTTGGAGCATACTGACACCAAAAAATTACACTGTTCACTCAAAAGACGACATCTGCTGTTTGATCAAACTACTTATTGAGCTGAAATAACACAATTCTTGAGTTTTTTGGGTGGGCTGTGTATATATTTTTGGTTCAGTATGCTCCAAAAGATCAAAGTTATATTTAAATCCTCTTAAACTTGCAAAACTATTAAGTTAACTTAGTCCCTTCTTGTTGTCCCAACACAAATCGATTGTTTGGAACCCAGCTATTTTACAGTGTACACTGCTGGGTTTCACAAAATTCCTTCATTTTGTCCCAACACAAATAGATTAGGTTAAAACTTAGGCTTTAAATTAAGTTTAAGTGGATTAAAAATCATATCATGAATTTTGTTGTTTCAGCTCATTTGCAAGCAGCAGAAATCATTTTTGAGTGCATCTATCTACTCATTCCTTCATTCGATCAGTTCGATCCAGTTTGACATGCATACCTTCATTCGCATCTGGCTTCGTGTTTTTTATGAAAGCCGAGAACTTTGCAAATATGTCATTCCCTGCTGCGTTTGACTCCCTGTGCCTGGCTGCAAGTTTGGGGTACCTTGGACACAAGGAAAGGTACACAGAAAAACATGTGTCAGGATTCTTTACAGTTCAACCTCACAGTGGTTTAATGTGAGGTTTAATACAATATACAGTCTAGATCTGCAGTTCTTCAATATACAGTCTAGATCTGCAGTTCTTCAATATACAGTCTAGATCTGCAGTTCTTCAATATACAGTCTAGATCTGCAGTTCTTCAATATGCAGTCTAGATCTGCAGTTCTTCAATATACAGTCTAGATCTGCAGTTCTTCAATATACAGTCTAAATCTGCAGTTCTTCAATATACAGTCTAGATCTGCAGTTCTTCAATATACAGTCTAGATCTGCAGTTCTTCAATATACAGTCTAGATCTGCAGTTCTTATATGGTGGGTTGTGACACACAAATCAGTCACAGGCCTGTTCCTAAAGAAAAAAGCTAACTGCATATGATAATTAAAGATTTTTATAAATTAAAATGGACTTTTCTTGTTAATATTAAAATGCTCACAAATTAATTTAATTTAATTATTTGAAATGAATATAACATTTCCACTCATTTGGTTTATACAGTTTGAACATTAATATCATATTTATATCATATCATATTGAACATATCTTCAATAAATAAATTAGAATAAATGTTTCTGTTTTACTCTATAAATAAAATCACGTGATGCAAATGCCCATGGTTTTATTAAGAGTATTAGTCCTACCTCTTTCTGCGGTTTATGACTAAAGCATGCATCACATTACGTATATTTGTTATTTTCTCACGTTATTTTTTTGCGTAATCCAAATGGAAATCGATCGGAAATTGTTTACATGCATTTACAATACATACATCTCTACATTTAGGTCTAAATTTTGGTCCTGTGTTTGACCGTGCTGTTCAAATCTGGATCCTGCAGCAAGAACCAGTCGAGAACCGCAGGTTTCGAGTTTCTATGCAGTCACGATTCGTCTTGAGTGTATTTGTAAAAATGAGCTTACTTTGGTGGTGCCAAAACCTCCTCCAGGAACTCCTCAATCTTGTTAACGTCTGTCTTCACCTCACCGTTGAAGGTCAGGAAAGGAGGATGAGTGCCTGGAGCCAAATTGTGCAAATCAGCTGGTTTCCTGCGAAAAAAAATAAACACATTTAATGAACTACTTAATTTTATTACTCGAGCAGCCTTTTGCACTGCAAAGAAAACTAGAGATGGTTGATTAGAGAACGTTCGAGGTTACTAAAGTAACCCTTCGTTCCCCGAGGAGGGGAACGGAAGCACTATAAGTGGATTTGATTTGTAAAATCCACGCATTGGGAGGTTCGGTTCAGAAGCTACTCGTCTGAAAGAGTATTGAACGGGCCAATTAAGAATGAATTGGCAGCGCAAGCCTGCGCAGGTGAGCGGCATAAGCAATCAACTGAGTATATAAGCTCACCTGGCGCCAGCAGACGCTATCCTTTTTAAGCTGAAGAGACTTTCAACAGCTAAGGGACAGTCATTATGGCGACGGAGTATAGTGCTTCCGTTCCCCTCCTCGGGGAACGAAGGGTTACTTTAGTAACCTCGAACGTTCCCCTTCGGGGGGAACTTCAGCACTATAAGTGGATTTGATTTGTAAAATCCACGCATTGGGAGCCCATTGAAAGTGCCATAATGACTGCACCTTACCAACACCCCCGATGAGGAGATAGTCAAGCAAGCGTGACGCACCCGCATCATGGGGGGCGCGGTCCTCCAACGTGTCCCTGGCCCTAATTTATCCTACTTCAACAGAAGTTTCACAGATTTAGATATATTTTTTGGGAAGTCGTGAGCATCTAGATAATTCTAGGAAATACGACAGTACGTTGGGAAGCGTGCAATCCCGATAGGGAGGACGCTGCGGAGGCCATCCGTTACCCGAGGGGGGATAGATGGCAGAATTTACATATGGACTAGCCCTAAAAAGGGGGAGTACGCATAGCAAAAGAGTGGTTAGCGGGGAGGGAAGACACGGGTCCGCCCAGGGGGGGGACTTAACCGTGGCGGAATAAGCATATGGGATCGCCTAGTGGGGATCACGCATAGCAGGCACCTTTACCCAAAACGCGGGCTGACCAGCGGGCAGACCTACAACGTAGTGGGCCAGCAAGTGACTCCTCCGCTGAGTCAGTGCTGGGGGCCACGGAGGAATCTGCAGGGCTCACCTGACGGGGAACTTTACTGACAGATAAAAAGGCGCTCGTATCTCCGTGTTAGGGAAAATGGCGCAGCAAGCGTGTTTCAACACCCTACCGAATTGTTTCCTCAATCACCAAGGGTTACCTAATACCCTTGAGGAAACCGGCTCCACTCGCAGATTGTAAAACCTTGCAAATGTGTTGGGTGTCACCCAGCCCGCAGCTCTACAGAAGTCTGTTAGAGGGGCGCCGCGTGCGCGCGCTCGAGAGGATGCGAAGCTCCGAGTGGAGTGCGCACGCGCTCTCGGGGGACGCGGCTCATCTCGGCTCTGATAGTGAAAGAAAGGCATCCACAATCTAGTGGGAACTTATTTCGGTACGGCACTTCCCTGCTGCCGACCGTTATAACAGACGAAGAGCTGCTCAGATGATCTAAACTCTGAGTGCGGTCCGGATAATACGCAAAACGCGAACTGGACAATAAAGAAGGGCTGGGTCTGCCTCCTCCGAGGGCAGCGCTTGCAGGCTCACTACCTCGTATTAAAACGGAGTGGTAGGAACCTTGGGCACATATCGCGGGCGGGGTCTCAGGACGTGAGAGAAGCCAGCCCAATTACAGGCACGAGTCACTGACCGAAAAATGCCTCCGGGTCCCCGACCCTCTAATCGATATCAACGCGACCAGCAGAGCTGTCTTCAGGGACAGAAAGATACTGAGTCGAGGATCGAAGGGATCTGACGCGGCTTGTGTAGCGAGGGCGAGATCCTAAGAGGGCATGAGAGGGGGCGGGGTGGATTAACTCGCTTAACGCCCCTGAGGAACCGGATGATGAGGTTATGCGTTCCCACGGTGCTGCCAGCCACCGCGTTATGAGAGCGGAGATGGCAGCCACGTAACCTTGAGTGTGGAGGGCGACAGCCTGCTCTCCAACTTCTCTCGGCGTAAAGAAAGCACAACGCTGATCTGGCAAATTACGGGGGTCTTCTCAGCGAGAGACACACCATTCAGTGAATAGACTCCACGTCAGGGCATAGGCGCGCTCGGGGAGGGGGCTCTAGCCCGAGTGACGGTATTAGCCACCGCAATCGGAGGTTACCTAAGTCTTCCTCGCGTCTAAAATCTCTTCAAAGATCGGCGAGGGTGCCAGGTGGTGCCCTGTCCCTGAGAGAGTAGGTGCTCTCTCGAAGGGACTGCCAGGGGAGGGCTATCGCGAGGGAGAGCTCTGACATCCAGGTCCGGTTGAGCCAGAGGGGCGCAACCAGCAACCTGTTCCTCGTCCTCTTCCTGACCTTGCACAGTAACTGCGCGAGCAGGCTCACTGGGGGAAACGCGTATTTGCGCGTGCACCGAGGCCAGCTGTAAGCCAGTGCATCCGTGCCGAGAGCACTCGGTCAGGGAAAGAACAACTAGCAATGAGCGATCTCGGGGGAAGCAACAGATCGATCTGGGCTTCCCCGAATCGCGCCCATATCAGCTGAACAGACTCGGGGTGGAGTCTCCATTCTCCAGGACGCAAGGCTGCCGTGAGAGCGCATCGGCTGCACGGTTGAGCTTGCCTTAATATGAATGGTGTGCAGCGATTTCAGCCGCGGATAACTCCAGAGGAGCAGACGGCGGGCGAGCTGAGACATGCGGCGAGAGCGCATACCCCCTATACGGCTGATATACGCCACCGCCGCCGTACTGTCCGTCCTGACCAGCACGTGTTGCCGCTCCAGCACCGGAAAAAAACGGTGGAGAGCGAGGAACACTGCCAACAGCTCCAGGCGATATGCCAATGCAACTGGGTACCTTTCCACAGGTCCGCAGCCGCATGCCCGCAACGCACAGCCCCCCAGCCCGTGTTGGAAGTGTCTGCTGAAACGACAACAAGACTGGACGCCTGTTCTAGAGACACCCAGGTCTGTAGGAACGAGGGGTCGCTCCAAGGGCTGAGGGCGCGGCGACACAGCGCAGTAACAGAGACTCGGTGTGCGCGCGCGTGCCATGCGCGTCTGGGGACTCGATCGTGAAGCCAGTGCTGAAGTGGTCTCATATAGAATAATCCGAGCGGCATGAAGCGGCTGCGGATGCCATATGCCCCAGGAGCCTCTGAAATAGTTTCAGTGGGACCACTATTTTACTGTCGAGCTCTCTCAGACAGTACAGCATCAGCTGAGCGCGCTCTCCGGAGAGGCGCGCTGCCATGGTGACCGAGTCCAGCTCCAGCCCGAGAGAAGAGATCCTCTGCACGGGGGCGAGTTTGCTCTTTTCTCGGTTGACCTGAAACCCCCACAGGTGGAAGTGCCAGAGCACTTTGTCTCTGTGCATAATCAACTGCTCTGAGAGAGGGCAAAAATCAGCCAGTCGTAAAGAAATTGAGTATGCAGATGCCCGCGAGCCGAAGGGGCGCTGAGGCACCCTCCGCGGGCTTGGTGAGGACCCGCGGAGACAGAGAGAGCCCGAAGGGGAGGGCTTTGTATTGCCAAGCTCGACCTTCAAACGCAAACCGCAGAAACTGTCGGTGGCGAGGAAGAGTGGAGACATGGAAATACGCGTCCATCAGGTCTAATGCTGCAGACCAACCCAGAGGACGAACGCACCGGAGGATGCGCTTCTGCGTGAGCATTCTGAACGGCAGCTTGTGCAGGCAGCGGTTCAAAACGCGCAGATCTAGGATTGGCCGTGACCCACCGCTCTTTTGGGCACGATGAAGCGTGGGCTGTAAAACCCACTCTCCATCTCGGCTGGAGGGAGCGGCTCGATTGCATCCTTCGCCAGGAGGACAGCAATCTCCTCTCGCAAGACAGGGGCGGACAGGGGGCTGACCCTGGTGAATACACACCCGTGACTTGGGGGGCCGTTTCGCGAACTGAATCGCATAGCCGAGTCTGATTGTGCGTATGAGCCACCGCGAAGAGCTGGCCCGCGCTAACCAGGCAGGCAGAGCTCTCGCTAATGGACTCATCGCTACAATCGCTGACGTACCAGCAGTGGGGCAGCGCGGAGTGGGTGTGCTGATCCGGGAAGCTCGCGGGTCCCACGGAAAAGCTGGAGGTGAGATATTTGCTCTCACTCCAAACCCGAGCTCCGGAGGGGAGGCTCGAGGGGTGGGAGAAAGGAGACCGTCCTCCCAGCGCTCGTGAGCCACTGGCGAAACGCACCGAATCTGCAAGCTAGAAAGCATAGCGTCCCAGACTGGCAGATTTCGGGCTGTCACATCTGGGGAAGTGAAAAGTGCCCTTTCATAATGTTTTCATGGCAGTAAAAAGTGCCGTTGGAAATGGGGCCCCGCCCTCCAGCGGGGAAAGAGCAAGTTCCCTCTTCTCCAGATGGCCTGTCCCAGGGGCGCTTCGCGGTCCGTTGCCGGACTTAGCGGCGTTCTGGGCAGGGGGGCTGCCTGCTTCCGAGGTGCCCGACGCGCTCGCTTCGCCTGAGGCGTGTGCGGGGGCGGAGCAGCTCTCGTAGGCGGGCGCCTTCGGCGAGGAGCAGGTATGAATGGCCCGGCGGGCGGAGCGGGCTACGGACCGCCGATAAGACATCACCCACCAACTGCTCTCTCACCGCCTTGAATTCCTGGGTGAATTCACAGACAGTGTCGCCGAACCTGGCTGGGGATATGGGGAAGTCAAGAAAGCGGACTTTGTCGACTTTGCGCATATCAGCCAGGGGTGGCGCTCCTGGACCACTAATGTGGACATCGTCCTCCCCAACGCACACGCAGCGGACTCAGTAGTCCGAAGAGCTAAGTCGGCGGCGGTGCGAAGCTCGTAAGCCTGGGTTGGACCCACCCTCGTGCAGCTCGGCCAGCGCCTGCGCTTGGTAGCGCTAGTAGGTGGCTATCGCATGCAAGGCGGAAGCAGCCTGGCCCGCAGCTATGTAAGCTCTAGCTCCGAGGGAGGTAGATAACTTACAGGCTTTGGATGGGAGACGAGGCGGATCCCGCCAAGAAGAGGCGCCGCGCGGATTTACCGCCATCGCGCACTCAACCTGAGGAATCGCCACATACCCCCTGGCTGTTTCACCGTCAAGAGTGGTTAGGGTGGAGGAACACGCAGCACGAGCAGAAAAAAGTGCTTTACAAGACCGCGTGAGCCTACTGTGCACCTCCGGGAAGAAGGGAACGCCCCTCTAGTCGGTCCGGCCGCGGAGCTGGGGGATAAACCATCTCCAACCCACGGCCGAAGCAGCCCGGGAAAGCACGGCTAACATGTCCGTTTCAGGATCCGTAGTGACAGCGCTCACCAGCCCGAAGGGGGCGAGCGGGTCTGGATCATCATCGGACAATGAAAGCCCACCCTCCGATGCCGCGGTGGACATCTGGTCTCCGGTGTCATCGGGCGTAAGGGCTACCATCTGTTAGACGGATCGCTTCCCCCGCCCGAAGCTTGGATGGAGCGCTTAGAGGAGCGGGAGGTCCGCGGGCCCGTGGGCGACGGATTATTTATCTCTCGCTGAAACCCTCAGATCTGCCCGAGTGCCCGCTGCAGAGCAGGGGACAACTGGGGTGGTTCACCCTTTTGCAAAGGCTAACCGCGATCTTGCGCAACAGTCATGGCATCGCAATGACGACATGAACTGCCCGCGAGCAGCGCATTAACATGCTGGACCCCCAGACATGTAACGCAGTGCACGCGCCCATCATCCGAGGACAGGAAACCACCGCATCCAGAAACGCACAGTCGGAGCGCCGTCCTGATAAGGACGTGCTGCACGACTGTGTTGCTCTTTCTGTGAAGTTTGCAACTTTATACGCACCGCTCTGGAGGACCGGACCCAAAGAACGCCAGGCAAGGGAGAAACCCAGCTCGACCGTCTGCCACTGCGTGTACACACTCTGGACCGGGAGAATGCTCTCGTTCGCTCAGAATCGCTGGTCACAGCAGGAGGAACCCTCATCGACTCGATCAGAAAGTCTCTGAAGCGAAAAGGATAGCGTCTGCTGGCGCCAGGTGAGCTTATATACTCAGTTGATTGCTTATGCCGCTCACCTGCGCAGGCTTGCGCTGCCAATTCATTCTTAATTGGCCCATTCAATACTCTTTCAGACGAGTAGCTTCTGAACCGAACCTCCCAATGCGTGGATTTTACAAATCAAATCCACTTATAGTGCTGAAGTTCCCCCCGAAGGGGAAAGGTATGTCATTAATGATGTGCTAAACTTTTTTTTTTTTTTTTTTTTTTTCATTTGCAGAGATTTTCAAAAATATAAAACACTGCATTATGCATTCCAGGACATAATTTGCTGATGTTACTTTGCAATATACTACATACATGCTCACCCCTCACAAATCTCTCATTTTAAATTAATATTTTCTAAAGGAAGCTTTACAATATTATATTTGTGCATATACATTAGTTTAGTCAGTACTGAAGCCAAATCTGGAGCTAATCTAGCAAAATAAGTTATGATAATGGTCCAAAATTAGTAGGCCAAATTTATGTTATTGAAAAATATTAAATACAACATATAAAAAGTATAATGTACTAACTAGATTAATGAAATTCTTATTCTTTCTAAAAACTATTATTTAGTTCTGCTTTCATTCTAAATGTCATATTAACCTCTATCACTTGATCAATAATAGAGGCAGACACACAAGTGCACTTTTACATCTATTAAAACTAATCAACGTGTAAGTGGGAACACGTGTAAAAATGTAATAAATGTCACACATAACATTACTTATTTTATTATACTTCAATATTTAGATACTTTAAATGTAAAATTACGCATTAACTTGAGCAACTGTTTTCCCACGCTTACTGTCTCTGTTTCACAGATGCAGTGGTGTTGCTTTTTTAAAGATATGGTCATATTTGCTGTAACTTTGTATGAGCACATCAAGTTCAGCTGGAGAAAAAAATGCTGATCTCTTTTTTAAGATGTTGCCATAGTCACTCGTAATATCTGCACTCCATTGTTAATGCCTTTTTATAGTCTCAGTGTGCGTGCTTAACTCTGAGTTGGTCTGCTCAAAGTTGATTGACCTAACTCAGATCACCTATTATGAAACCGAAAACTCTAAGTTTTTAATTTCTCTGTAAATCAGAGTTCAAGTTCAAACTCAGAGTTGGTTGAACCTCCTTACTAAAACAGGCCCCAGGACTCCAGCCCTCCAGAACTGAGTTTGCACACCTCTGGAACAAAACAAAAGAAAAAAGAAAAAAAACATCCACCAAACAACAAAAGACCATTCACTGAGAGCCTCTGACAACCCTCCGCCAAAAAAAGAACCTAATTGACACACAAAACCATTTCTTTCACATGTGAGGGCAGGTGAAGCCTCTCATGAGGCAAAACTGCAAAAATCTCTCAGTACCATTGTGTCACAGAGGGGGGAGAGTTTTTTATCCATCTAATAAGGATGCATGTTCTTGCCACAAGTAGCAGTTTATCTAACAATTTATAACCTTTTGTGTCAAGGGTCAATGGAATTGCTTGTGTTTTAGAAGGGAATCCCAAAAGAAAAAGACCGGGATCTTTTTTTAATTTCATCTTAAAAAGTGTGTTAATTTCATGTGCAACAAAGTTCCAGAATCTTGAAATGAGTTGGCACTTCCAGAAGCAATGAAAGTATGTCCCAAGCTCTGTATGACACTTAACACAAAGAGCTGGAATAGGATTCAGTTTCATTCCAAAACTGGCGTTATATGCAGCCTGTGTAAAATCTTATATTGAGTCTCTCTAAGTCGATTACAAATAAAAGTGGATCTAATACACCTCAAAGCCTCTTGCCAGTCATCATCTATATAAACATAACACAGGTCTTCCTCTTCTTATGGGCCACTGTGTTCACAAGTCCAGAGATATTAGAGTGTAGAAAAGAATAACATCTAGAAATAAAATGAACAGCATTTGTTGTGTTAGCGAGAAAACTTTCCAAACTATTAAGTGCTAATGTAGCTGGTATTTGTTTTTGTTTTGACATAACATAGTGCCGAATTTGCAGATATCCAAAGTGATGTTGGTTTGGGAGATCAACTTTTTAATGTAATTGTTGGAAGGACATTAAAGAGTCGCCCTGAAACAAGTCAGATAGAAAACAAATTCCTTTAATGTGCCATGTTTTGAAGAGAGGTGGACCTATGCCAGGGACAAAGTCCTGATTCAAATAAACTGGTTTTAACATAAATATAGCTTCTCCTCTCCCCAAAAACCTGGAAATCTGTCGTCAAACTTTATTAGAGCTATAATGTATTTGATTTTTCTTCACTGTTTCTTCATACTTGTGGGGACAAGCAAACAAACTCCAGACAGATAGTGGGTTCACTCACTTTTAAATTAAAGTCAACTATTTTTTTTTAAAGCAACAAGTTTATTCACTTTTTGAAGTAAATCAACTAATCATATTGAAAGCAATGGGTTTACTCACATTTTAAAGTAAAGTAAAATATAAACAACAAAAAAACATTAATTCTCCTTGCGTAAATTGATTTATACAGAACTTGAATTTAATTACAGTATTTAAGACGAGTACATTATATATGACTATAATTAAATTACTTAAAATGAACAGTAAAACTTGTGAATAAGTAATTTAATAACAGAAACTATTCATTTATACATTCATTTTCTTGTCGGCTTAGTCCCTTAATTAATCCGGGGTCGTCACAGCGGAATGAACTGCCAACTTATCCAGCAAGTTTTTACACAGCAGATGCCCTTCCAGCCGCAACCCATCTCTGGGAAACATCCACACACACTCATACACTACGGACAATTTAGCCTACCCAATTTACCTGTACTGCATGTCTTTGGACTGTGGGGGAAACCGGAGCACCCGGAGGAAATCCACGCGAAGGCAGGGAGAACATGCAAACTCCACACAGAAACGCCTACTGAGCCGAGGTTCGACCCAGCGACCTTCTTGCTGTGAGGCGACAGCACTACCTACTGCGCCACTGCCTCGCTAACAGAAACTATTTGAAGTTGTAACTCATTAAACCCAACACTTGACGATCCTTTTGATGTTTCTACATAAGTGATAAAGAGCAGTTGCAAACTCTTTACAAAATACATATTTCTGCCGTCTGGATAAACTAAATCTGCAGCAGGTTTTACCACCACATTATTATGTAATTGTTGATAGTGAGGGTATTTTGATTGTTAGAAGAGGTTATTTCATAACATGGAGCATAGCATTTGTTACTGACATTTCTATGATGTTATTATTATGCAAATTCAATAAATGAAGTTCTCACCTCTTGAGGTCGACAGTGGTGACATTAAAAACTACACCTTTGAGCCAGAGGATCATGAAGAGGCGCTGAGAAAACGGACAGTTTCCGATGCTCTCGCCATCACTGCCAGCCTACAAACACAACCACACATTTGTAAATATACTTTATATCACATGCAGAGAACAGTAGGTCTTCTTCATTTATCATAACATGGAGCCAAAAACCAGTCCACATGTCTTGGGGAAGAGAGTGGATTGAGAATGCTAAAGAGTAATAGCGCCATCTGCTGCTGCTTTCTTGATCCCATTGATGGGCATTAAAGGTACAGTTCATCCAAACCTGAAATCTGAAACTATTTACTCAGCCGTAAGTGTTTCCAAACCTTTATGATTTTCTTCTGTCAGATAAAAACAAAATAAGACATTTTGAAAAAAGCTGAAAAACTGTATTTTTCATGGTAAGAAAAACAACTACTGTGGAAATCAATGGTTACAGGTTTTCAGCATTTATTGTAAATATCTTCTTTTGTGTTTATCAGACAAATAAAACTTGTAAATGTTTAAACATGTAAAGGGTGAGAAAATGATGACAGAATTTTTATTTTGGGTGAACAATCCCTTTAAAGCAGCGGTGCCCAAACCTTTTCTTATGAAGGGCCGAAAACCAAACTTGATTAAGGCTAGTGGGCCGAAGGTAAATATAGTCGCCATGAGTAATTTTCTAATTTATTTAATAATATTTTAAAAATAAATAGAAAACTTTGCCTTATATTAACTAATACAACATATTTTTGTACATTTTATAATGAACTTTATTCTGTTATAAACGAGATTGTTTTTGTTTTTACTGTAATGAGTTACACTAGTTGCCTTGATTTGCCCACTGCATAGTCTTCTCTCCGTAAAGTGTCATTTACATTTTAAAAATCATATTCATTTAAAACATTTAATTAAAACCTTTCGTTCCAGTTTTTTGTACTTCAGCAAATGAATTTAATCCTTATTCCAAAATGGATTAAATTAATCTATTTCCTCAAAATTCTACACATAATGCCCCACAATGACATAATGTAAAAAAAAACTTTTTGAAATAGTTGCAAATTTATTAAAAAAAAAAAAAAAAAACTGAAAAATCCCATGTACATACATATTCACAGCCTTTGCTCAATACTTTGTTCCAGTTCCTGCTGCTGAAAAACATCCCCACAGCATGCTGCCACCACCATGCTTCACTGTAGAGATGGTATTAGCCTGGTGATAAGCGGTGCCTGGTTTGCTCCAAACAGTAACGCCTGGTATTCATTTCAAAGAATTCAATTTAGTCTCATCAGACCAGAGAATTTGGTTTCTTATGGTCTGAGAGTCCTTCAGATGTCTTTTGGCAAATTCCAGGTGGGGAGGGGCTTCTGTCTGGCCACTCAACCATACAGCCCTTATTGGTGGATTGCTGCACAGATGGTTTTTCTTCTATAAGGTTCTCCTCTCTCCACAGAAGAACACCGGAGCTCAGTGACCATCGGGTTATCAATAGCCTCTCTGACTAAGGCCCTTCTCCCTCGATCACTCAGCTTAGATGGCCGGCCAGCTCTTGGAAGAGTCCTGGTAGTTCCAAATATCTTCCACTTATGGATGATGGAGGCAGCTGTGCTCAATGAAACTTTCAGAGCAGCAAAAATATTTTCTGTAACCTTCCCCAGCCTTGTACCTCGAGACAATCCTATCTCGGAGGTCTACAAACAATTCCTTTGTCTTCATGCTTGGTTTGTGCTTTGACATGCACTGTCAGCCCTGGAACCTTATATAGACAGATGCCTTTTCAAATCATGTCCAATGTTGGAATATCAAGCCAATTCCATGCGTGTTCAAGAGAAAAGGTCAGGAGAGGTTTTTCTTCAATGACAAAAATATTAGTAATTTATTAGATACAAATGAATAATTCGATGACAGAGCTCTGGGTTACATTACCCCAATGCAATACAAGAATTACATTAAAGAGGTTCGCAACTAACATACATTTCCTGACTTCAGCATATATACACCACCGATCTTAACAGGTGGAGTTTTGATGTAACGTTACTTGTCAGTCATTGTTCAGTCCTCCATTGGCCGCACCTTCGACATACTTCCTCTTTTTCTACGAATTCTCTGCCCAAAAACAAAGTATACATCTTTCTGTGTTCTGTGTTCAGTTTTAACACCTCTCTTCAGACAGGAAGTTTCTGCAGAGCTGAATTTAATTTTGGACCCGCATCTATCTAATTCTGCAAAAATGCTAATTAGTATGCACAGCACTCACCCACAACATTAGAAGTTCAGTTAATATATGACCCTTACATGACCAATACAAATAATTGTTTGATAAAAAGAAAAAGAGACAAAAATAATAAAAAATGGTTCCTATTATCCAATACCAATCAACTGAATTGACCACAGGTGAACTCCAATTAAGCTGCTGAAACAGCTCAAGAATGATCAGTGAAAACAGAATGTACCTGAGCTCAATATAAAGCTGCACTGCAAAGACTATGAATACTGATGTACATGTGATTTTTCAGGTTTATTATTTTTAATACATTGGCAACAATTTCAAAAAGTCTTTTTTTCACGTTGTCATTATGGGGTATTATGTGTAGAATTTTGAAGAAATAAATGAATTTAATTCAAAAGTGTCCCAGTTGACCTAATTCCACCCCTTTATTTATTGGAATATTTTGTTAAAACCTATAAAACTATTTTAACCATGAAATGAATAAGGTTAATTAATGAAACCCTGTTTCATTACTAGTTATTAAAGAAAATGTCTTAATAAAATTATTTACTTATCATGAACATAAGTTACTTTATACTTTACCGTATATGCTATAAAACATCTTGCTTAAAAAGATCAGTTTATTATTGTATTTTGGGTTGTTTACTAAACATTTATTTATTTTTTATCGAAAATAATGTAAATTACATTGGTGGACTTGTGGATCATTGGATTTAAAAACTGGGAGATCCCTGCAGTACTGTTCTTGACCACTTGAGGTAGCAATCTACCTTTAAAAAACACTAAACTTGGGACCAGCAGGAGGAGCAAACACTCATTTTCATTTTAAAACTAGAATACAAATCTAAAGGTAATTTCTCAAAAAATGAGCATTACAAATATATAGTTTATGCAGATTTGAATTTGAACAGCAGTTAATTTCAATAGCAATGTTCCCTCATTATTTGGAGTGACGGTGCTGATGACATTCACTCTGCTTCTGTACTGTACACCTCTGCAGCGAAGCATATCGGGTGTCCCAAAACAGCAGCACCGCTAGTAAGAGAGCAGCTATAGCTTACACCGTGACATAATACCCAGCACAATATCAATTATGCACACTGCATTCATTATCCACAAAAGAGCACCAGGAGCACACGCTCGCTCATGTATTTATACATAATAGCTTCACAGGGACTACCCATGTAGATCCTTCAGTTTTGTATATTTTCTAGGTTAACTGCAGGTAAACACACGTGGGCTTCTATTCATCGACGGCAAAAAAAGATAGTTATTTTATTTTTATTTACTTTTTAAAACTGAGTAAGCCACTTTTCTTAAAAGAGACGAGTTTAGTTAATTTAACTCAATTTTTAAAAGCATGCACACAGTTCATTTATTTAATAATTTTAAGGCAGTATATTTAGTCAATTTACTTAAACTTACTGAAGTCAACTATTTGCTTTAAAATCAACAGGTTTACTCTCTTCGTAAATTCAAATAATCCCTTTTTACAGTGTATTTTAAAGGCTGTTTTCTCAATCTCCACCTCACCATAGACCAAACGTCCTAGGTTTATTCATATTTGCATTCTGCATTATTTTATTCATTCATACAACATTTGCTTGATAATATACAACACTTTATTCTACAATAAACTGTAGAAATGTGAACTCTAAATTTCTAAAAAAAATTGATTCCCATTAATTTTTAAAAATCCTTAATATGAAAGAAATAAAATCAAATTGAACCCGACATTAATCATTATTTAGATTTAGAAATGTATGCAAATGAGCACACATTTATTGAAATACTTGCATATTGAAACAGAACATTTTAGAAAACTTCTAATGCAATTATTTATTTATTTTTGGTATACTTGAAGGAACTTCTTAAGGAATTTTCTTTAAGATTCATTAAAAAAAGGCTCATTTTACAACTTCCCTTGTGTTGAGTTTTACTATTATTATTATTTTTTTTAATAAATTGTTTCAATTCAACCCTTTTAGCTTAGCTTAGCATAATTCATGCAATGGGATTAGACCATTAGCATCTTTCTCAAAGTTTTGATAAATTTCCTATTAAAGCTTGACTTTTCTGAAGTTACTTCATGTACTAAGAAGAAAACGAAAAAGTAAAAAAAAAAAAAAGTGTAATTTTATAAAATTATGCACCTAGTTGAGTTTTACTATTATTATTTTTTTTTTCAATAAATTGTTTCAATTCAACCCTTTTAGCTTAGCTTAGCATAATTCATGCAATGGGATTAGACCATTAGCATCTTTCTCAAAGTTTTGATAAATTTCCTATTAAAGCTTGACTTTTCTGAAGTTACTTCATGTACTAAGAAGAAAACGAAAAAGTAAAAAAAAAAAAAAGTGTAATTTTATAAAATTATGCACCTAGTTGAGTTTTACTATTATTATTTTTTTTTTCAATAAATTGTTTCAATTCAACCCTTTTAGCTTAGCTTAGCATAATTCATGCAATGGGATTAGACCATTAGCATCTTTCTCAAAGTTTTGATAAATTTCCTATTAAAGCTTGACTTTTCTGAAGTTACTTCATGTACTAAGAAGAAAACGAAAAGTAAAAAAAAAAAAAAAGTGTAATTTTATAAAATTATGCACCTAGTTGAGTTTTACTATTATTATTTTTTTTTTCAATAAATTGTTTCAATTCAACCCTTTTAGCTTAGCTTAGCATAATTCATGCAATGGGATTAGACCATTAGCATCTTTCTCAAAGTTTTGATAAATTTCCTATTAAAGCTTGACTTTTCTGAAGTTACTTCATGTACTAAGAAGAAAACGAAAAGTAAAAAAAAAAAAAAAGTGTAATTTTTTTAAAATTATGCACGTAGTTGCAATCAGAATTATTACAC